AATTAAATGATTGTTTAGGAGTTACCTTGGCCAACCCATTGTCTAGTGGTTGGCGGGTTCCAGTCTACCCGAACGGAGTGCCGATATCTCGGTGTGGTCTGTGTTGGTTCCGGTAACGGAATGTGGACTTTCTTCTTTTCGTCAAAGTAGAAGAAATAATACGGTTTCTTTTGTGCACTATCCTGTGGAGATTGTTTATGATTCGAATATCCTTTTCCAAAGGATTTCTTTTCGTCAGCACTAAATATGGTGTGTGTTTCATTAAAGGTCGAGTGCCTATGTCTAGTGAAACACACGGGAGCTATATGTCCTACCCTATTGCAATAATGGCATACTACATTTGGGTTGAACATATGCCTAGGTTGGTAATAGCTAGGGGGTCTAACCATATTCATCCTATTTTGAGAAAATATTGGTTTTTGGCTATTTTGAAGATTCTCTATTCTAGGTGTTCTAGCATTATTTTGTCTATTTGAAAAATTATTTGTGTCCATAAAATCATTTTGATAATTCCTCCTAGGTTTCCTAGAGTGCTCGTGTTCATGACTAACCTTTTGTCTAGGTTGTCTATTATTGTTATTTTTATCTTTCTTAGGTTAAGCTCTAGGTGGTTTACGGTTGTGCTCAACTTTTTCTTTATTTTTAGGTTCATCAATCTTCCCAAAACATATTCCTTGTTTAGTGTATTGCATAGAATCAAAAACGAGATTAAGATCCTTATGTGGTTTATTAAATTTCTTCACCGTGTTTTCTAGTTCAGCAACTTGTTCTATCAAAGCTATGCAAGAGTCACAATGTTTCGTAGAGCTCTCGGGTTTGTCGGCGCTTCTTTTACCATAAAATTTATTTTCCTCTTTTAGTTTTTCATTTTCCTTTTGAAGTTTTTCAATTTCAGTTTCAAGATTAGAAAAACGTTTCTTTAAAGCTTTGTTGGTTTTAGAAGCGCTAACAAACTCGTCATAAAGCTCTTGGAGAGCTTCTTGCATTTCTTTAAGAGAATAAGAACCGGTAGAAGAAATACATACCTCTTGGTTTTCGTTGTTGGCGGACTCCTCTTCTTCTTGAGCTATGAGACAAAGGTTTGCTTCCTCGTCTTCCTCTTGTTCGCTTGACTCATCGCCGGAGTCGCCACCCCAAGAGATGTATGCTCTTTGCTTTTTGAAGTGACGAGCATTCCTTCCGCTTCTTGGGCATTTATTCTTGATGTGCCCGGCTTCACCACATCCATAGCACACAGGGCCATCCTCAACCTTCTCTTTCTTTAGAAGTTTGCAAAACTTCTTCATGATTAGCTTGACTTCATCTTCGTCGCTTGAGTCATTCATTGTCGGTTCTTTGGAGGCTTTTAATGCTATGCCTTTTCTCTGGTCATTCAAAGACGGGTTAAGTATAGTAGATTCATAAGTTTTTAAATTACCTCTTAAACCGTCGATGGTGACAGTTGATGTGCCGATTGACTCATAGAT